TTTGCTGCTCACTTGTTTCTCTTCTGAATTTTATTACAAATTATTTTTGTTGGCATTCTACATCACGAAGGATAAGAGTTAATGGTAACAGCAAGAGACTGGTCCAAAATGATTAGAATTGCCATGTCAAAGTAGAACACAGAACATCAGAGTTGGAAGGGGCCTTGGAGGTCTTCTAGTCCAGCCCCCTGCTTAAGCAAGAGACCCTATATCATTTCAGACAAATGCCTGTCCAGCCTCTTCTTAAAAGCCTCGCCCACCAGTTCTGAAGGCAAGCTGTTCCACCGGTTTTATTGTTCTCACCGTGTTTGCAAGCCTTGGCCTTTGTAGCTTGTAGCTTGTCCCATTGTAGCTTACTTGCAGATATATTGGGACTACTACCACTCCAATTATTCCCAACCACCAGCATCATGGAAGCTGCAGTCTAGTGCATCTGCAGGGTTCCATGTTGGCTAGCCTATGACTTTCCTTCAGTTTAATGAAAAGAAGGACTAGGGGTGACACGATAGCACTGTTCCAATATCTAAGGGGTCAAAGAAGAGGTGCTTTGGAGAACAGGTCAACCCCCCCCCCCTCTTCTCTTCAAATATTTGAAGACTGCTATCATGTTCTCCAAAGCACCTGAAGGCAGGACAAGAAGCAACAGATGGAAACTAATCGAGGAGAGAAGCAACCTAGAACTAAGGAGAAATTTCCTGACAGCTAGAACAATTAATCAGTGGAACAACTTGCCTCCAGAAGTTGTGGGTGCTCCAACACTGCAGGCTTTTTAAGAAGAGATTGGATAACCATTTGTCTGAAATGGTATAGGGTTTCCTGCTTGAGCAGGAGGTTGGACTAGAAGACCTCCAAGGTCTCTTTCAACTCTGTTATTCTATTCTGTTATGCATTTACTAAAAGAATGATGGGGACTGTTATCCAATCCACCTGGAAGATGTCAGGTTGGAGAAGTTTGGTGTTTTGGTCGAGTACTGACATTACACTAAGCCATAACTGGGCATACGTGCTTGAAGTTTAGTGTGTTTGTGAATTTGGATACCACAGCTGTACGACAGGTTTGCTGCCGAGTACGTTTTGTGAACTCTGCCTTCATGATCACAGGATAACACAAGAGGGTTTCCCAACAGTGGCCATAACAGACAGATGGCTGAAGGGGTGTCTCTGTGTCTCAAATTTCCCATCTTTCTGGTTTTGACTTTGGTAAGATTTTGATCATATTTTCCTTATCCGGGGAAGGAAAAAAATTGTTCTTGTCATTTGGCAATAAAGATTTTTAATTAAAGTGACACAGGAGGAGTCATGACACAGTCACGTGTGCCTGGCTGAGGAATTCTGGGAGTTGAAGTCCACAAGTCATAAAAGGGCCAAGTTTGAAGACCCCTGCAATAGAGTTTAAGGACATGGAATCCCAGATGATAACTGAAATTCAATTAGGATGCTGGAAAAATCCGTTTTTTTGCTTTTTCCAGGAGTGGTAAATATCTGATGTTCCTTGGACCTGGGCACAAGTGAGCATTTGCTATTTCTCAATTTCTGCCCCTCCTGAATGTTTTCAGACTTCTCTAGCCTAAAAAACAAGACATCTCTTTACCAAAAAAAGTGTGTTTCAAAAACCCACGTAGGGAGAGCAAGGCACTTTAAAATGCATCAGTAAAATAGGAGTCCTCATGCGTTTTACATTTAAAGCAAATATCAAAGCATGCCAAAATTATACTGGCCAGACAAAGAGACCGTTTCCCCCAATCCCTTCATTTTCCCCAGGGTAAATATATACCTTTGCATAAAGACTGAGACTCGGAGGAAAAGATTTGCTTTGAAACTTTGGTCCCTCTTATTATGATGATTATTTTTTGTTACATGCCTTTCATAAATCTACCGAAGCAAATTTGTCCAGTTGGTAAGCAGCGATATTTTTTTTGCTGGCCCTGATACATTGCAGAAGCTTTCCTTCCAGGAGAGAGAAAGAGAGAGGCGAAAACTGGCAGCTCAACTGTTAAACTGGCCTTTGATTACTGGATGTTGAACTGGGCGTGATGTCATCCTTGTAACATGAGCTTCCTGTTCAGCCTTTCGGCTGCCTTTAAATAGCAGTGCCATGCCCAGGAGTTCTCTACCGGCTTCCTACGGGCAATCAACTCACCAGGCCGACTCACCAGGCCAATCTACGGCTGCCTCTGACATCCTTGGAAGTGTGTGGAGCCAGCCAGCATGTCGACCTCTTTGAGAGTGAGCCCCTCTGTCCACGGCTATCACTTCGACACCGCCTTGCGTAAGAAAGCTGTGCCCAACATCTTTGAGAACCTTGATCAAGAGACTCTGGAAAAGCTCTTCAAAAACTCCGGGGACAGGAAAGCAGAGGAAAGAGCTAAGATTATCTTGGCCACTGATCAAGACCTGGAGGAGAAAGCGAAATCGCTCATGGCTCTGAAGCAGCGGACTAGAGAGAAACTCTTCCAGTTTCTGAAGTTCGGGAAACATTCCATCAAAATCCACTGAAGAGCCACAAAAGCAAGGTTGTGACCTCCCAAAAAGAAAAAGGAAAAGAAAAAGAAAATTGCACAGCTCTTCCGCTGGTGTCATCCTTTTCGCTCGCCAGCATCTCCGACGCCTGGTACGAGATGGAGGATGCTTGGACATGTCAGTCAGGGGTTGTTCAATCCCCACGGACCGTGTGCTTCTTCTGCAGACTCCAAGTTGCACAGTCAAAAGACAACGGAGCGAGTCACTCATCAAATGACGAAAGCAGCAGATCCTGAGCCACAAGGATGGAAAAGTGGTGGAACGGACAGCTGCAACTTTTTCTGGCAGCAGGGAGGGAGAAGAGACTCTGTGATTTCTCCTTGACTAAAATGTCTGCTGCCTGACAGTCTTTCTGGACATATGTTTACTGACTGTGTAAAACCTTCCATAAGGTGCTTTTCTCTCCTGTGCTGGGATCACAGGAGATCAGACAGCAATCCGTGTTTATCCATTTGCATTTGCTAAAAATGCATCAGGGGAGCTGCGTCTCATCCGCAAGTCAACAATTCTCCCGAGAGAGAACTTTTTTTTCCAGGACAGCGTGAAGCAATCCAGTTTCTGCTCCGTTTCTTAAAATGAATTGCACAAACTTTTTTTTTTTTTAAAAAAGAGTTTCTTCATGACTTCTTGAATTATGAAAGTCTCTTTGAGACTTTGAGACATTCACTTTTTTTAAAAAACTATTTCTGCCATAGTGACAGTGCTGTAACGAACTTAACAAGTAATAAGCTATGTTGATGATGCTGTAGTAATGGGCATTAATTTATTGCATATGCTGCATTGTGGATCAAATAAATTATAAGGTTGATATAAATTGCTCTTGATTTGAAATGCTTTCTTTGGCAAGTGAAGCTGGTTTTAAATTTCATAAAACTTCTGTCCTTTGAAGTGCCAGATCGAGATATCATTCGATAAGAATGTTTCATCACAGATTTTTTTAAAAAAACAAAATGCAATATCTTTTTGTTTATTGTAATGGATGAACATTATGAAATGAAACACTGTCTTCTTTAAAGTAAATTTCAGTGAAGATTATTTTCAAAATCTTTTTCTAATGCCAGCCCTCAAATCCTGTAAAAATTGAGATAATTCTGAGCATATGCAAAGTAAATTTCATTATGTATATTTAAGAAACACTGGCCCTGATGCATCTGAATTTAGAAATTAAATGATTTATGTTTGTTGAATCCTCCCAGAAAGCTGCCTTTGAGTTTTTGGTTATCTCTCCAGGCTGTGGGCCCCACAGAGATTACATCACCAATTTTTTCATTGCTTTAGGTCCCTTGTGCAATCTCTAACTGCTAGACCGCCTTAAAAGGTTTGAAGTACAAACATAAAACATAGAATAACAGAGTTGGAAGGGACCTTAGAGGTCTTCTAGTCCAACCCCTTGCTCAAGCAGGAGACCCTATACCATTTCCGACAGGTGGCTGTCCAGTCTCTTCTTAAAAGCCTCCAGTGATGGAGCATCTACTATTTTTGGAGGCCAACTGTTCCACTGGTTAATTGTTCTCACTGTCAGGAAATTCCTCCTTAGTTCTAGTTTCCATCCATTGCTTCTTGTCCTGCCTTCAGGTGCTTTGGAGAATAGATTGACCCCCCCTTCTTTGTGGCAGCCCCTCAAATATTGGAACACTGCTATCATGTTTCCCCTAGTCCTTCTTTTCACTAGACTAGACATACCCAAAGATTGTTCCCATTGTATAGCTGAGGTTCAGTGAGGCTCACAGCTTCCCAAAGAAAAGTGAACATCTCCATTCCACATCTGGATTCTCAAGATTAAAACATTAACAAGAAGCAGATCAAAACGGCATCCTTTGGAAGTATTTTTCTTGGGAAAAACAAAGTTGCAATGGATGTAAGCCACGTCTCACGGACACTATCCTTGGAATCCAGTTATACAGTAGTGAAAGGGCCATCTTAGCTTATCCGAGTAAATTGGGTAAATTAAATATTATTTAAGTAGGTCCAATCATTCTGCTAATTGCATAGAACAACTTTAGGAGATTAAAAAAATTGCCCCGAGCAGTGATTTAGGTACTTATTTTTAACCCGGTCTTTGATGGCTGTTTAGGGTTCTACCTGAGCTATTTTACACTTTACAGATCTGGAAACTGAGATTTGTCAATTGAATGCAGGCTTGCCCAAATGCTGGTTTAGAAACCAGCCGAAAAGCCTCAAGAATAGTCTTTCTCCTACGCTTGAGATTTTTCTTTTTCTCATTGCTATTTTTGATGATAGTACAGACCCCCCCTCCCAATTTCTTCTCCATAGCAGTGCATATTTGATAGGCCAGCTATATACAGTCCTCCTTATATATATATATGCTTATTGCATTGCATAAACCACTAAGCAAAATTAAAATACGGTTGGATCAGTTGAGGTTTCAACCATGGTACTCTTAGCATGTTGTTTAAGCCATCCCTGCATTTAAGCCAAGATGGGATTTCTTTGGGTATATCAACCCAGCAATGGTGCTTGCTTAACCCAGATTTAGGGTTTAGTCTGCATGAACCAGCCCACACTCATTATCCAAGAGTTGTCCTGGCACATCTGTAAAAGTCTCCTGCCTTGGGCATGATCCCTTCCAGCACTATGATTTGATGTTTCCATGAGTCCATTTCTTGAGTCTATTTTATCTACAGATGCTTTGCTCAAAGACTCATGTAGACACTATAAGTATCATTTAAAAAAACATATATATATATTTAAATTAAAGTCCCTCTTAAGTTGAACATAGCAATTGGCACTTCTAACATGTTCAGATCCATAAAGTTCTCTTGGCAATCATTCATTTACCGGACACTTTCTTCTGGAACTTTTTAAAATGTCCCTAGATCAGTGGTGGCGAACCTATGGCACGGGTGCCAGAGACGGCACTGAGCCCTCTCTGTGGGCACGCGTGCCGTCACCCCAGTCCTAGGCCTTCAGCTGGGTTTTATAAAACCTTTTCGCTTTAGGCCTCCCCCGCCGTGTGCAAAAAAAAAAAAAAAAAATTCAATCAATCAATTTCAATTTCTTGGAGGGGAAAAAAAAGATCTTGCAAAGTTGGAATTGATTGATTGAACTTTTTAGTCCCACCCAGTCTGCTGTTACCACCGCAGCCACGCCCAGCCAATGGGCCATGCCCAATGGGCCACGCCCAGCCAATGGACCACACCCAGCCAATGGACCACACCCACCTGGCACCCGATGATGCATAAGTGGGTTTTGGGTTGCAGTTTGGGCACTCAGTCTCTAAAAGATTCGCCATCACTACCCTAGACACTTATGAGATTCCCTGCCACCCACCAACCAAGTACTTATCAGAATGGTTTATAGCAGCGTTTCTCAACCTTAGCAACTCTAAGATGTGTGGACTTCAACTCCCAGAATTCCCCAGCCAGCCTGGAATTCTGGGAGTTGAAGTCCACATGTCTTAGAATCGCTAAGTTTGAGAATCCCTGGTTTATGGAGTATATTTTTCCTTAGGCTCTTACAGTGGAGAGATACAGATGTGGCTTTATGTCATGCTCTCATGTACTGGGCTTTGGAGGGAGGGGGAACATTTTTCTATTTTTAGACAGTGTATATTCAAGGGGGGGCCAGAAGTTGTGTAAAAACGTCTGCATGGAAGCATGACTTAATGTCACTTCTGTCTGTTCCCAGAGCTTAAGGGAAGGTGGACTAAAAACAGTGTATTATACCAGTCAGAGAACTTCAGCATATCCCCTCTTACAATGCCACTGAGTATAAGGATCTGAATAGCTCCTAAAGCTAACATACTACATTAAAATGTCTAAAATCCAAAGTTCCCTGAATACAGGTCCCAGTAGAGGATTTGAATCCCATCAGATAACATCTGGCTACCTACGTCTCATAATTCTTGGTAAGAATGACACGGGTTGTGTAATACCTACCTCTATGTCATGGAAAACACCATCCAAATACTGAGCGGATCGGATTCTGTTTAGATTTTGTAGATGAGTTACCTCCTTGTAGGAACAGAGCAGGCAGAATTGGGAGGGTAAATATGTCATCACTTTAGAGTCATTGCATTCCCACAATTGCTCCAACCCCTCCTGAATTCCATTAGCCCTTATCTGGCACCAATTTAGTGTTGAACCTGGAATACTGCAGCCAATTTTGGTCACTATACTACAAAAAAGATGTTTTAGACCTTGGAACAAGTTCAGAGAAGAGCAACTAAGATGATCCAAGGCCTGGAGACTAAAACATATGAAGAACGGTTGCAGGACTTGGGTTTGGCTAGTCTAAAGAAAAGAAGAAACAGGGATGACATGATAGCAGTATTCCAGGATTTGAGGGGCTGCCACAAAGAAGAGGGCATCAAACTATTCTCCAAAGCACCAGAGGGAAGGATGAGAAACAATGGTTGGAAACTGACCAAAGAGAGAAGCAACCTGGAATTAAGCAGAAACTTCCTGACAGTGAGGAGAATTAACCAGTGGAATGGTTTGCCTTCAGAAATTGTGAGTGCTCCATCACTGGAGGTTGTTAAGAAAAGACTGGCAGTCACTTGAGCAGGGGGCTGGACTAGAAGACCTCCAAGGTCCCTTCCAGATTCTATTCTATTCTATTCTATTCTATTCTACTCTACTCTACTCTACTCTACTCTACTCTACTCTACTCTACTCTACTCTACTCTACTCCATATTGAATTTGGCCATCAGCCACGAAAGGGATTCCTGCTCTTGCCTTACAAAGGTGAGTGGGCTGGACTTTGATAAATAGCACTTAATTAAATAAGTTAATTAAATAGAGGTGGCAACTGGGGAAAGGATGCCCCAAAGGCCCAATTAAAAGCAAAACCAGGACTGGAGAACAAGATCTTTCTCGTCTTAAACTGTAAGGATTATAGAAAGTGAAAATCTTATCCAATCTGAGCTTTCAGGGTGAAGGTACATAGATAGGACTGTTCCCTGTGCAAGTTCGTGTACTTAAATATGCGCAAGGAGTTACGTAAGTTCATATCTAAGGAAATGTTGAGTTATGACCCAGCCTTAAATCAAAATCAGTTCTCCTCCTCTGGTGTTCATGTTTGTGGTATCTGTGCTCTATTTTTTTAAGGGTTCGTTGAAGAGAAGAACTAGGGGTGATTTGATAGCAGTTTTCCAGAACTTGAGGGGCTGTCACAAAGAAAAGGGGGTCAACCTATATTCTCCAAAGTACCTGAAGGCAGGACAAGAAATAATCTGTGGAAGATAATAATAATAATAATAATAATAATAATAATAATAATAATAATAATAATAATAATAATAATAATAATAATAATAATAACAACAACAACAACAACAACAACAACAACAACAACAACTGGCACACCACTTGAACACCATTGGCATTGACAAATTCGCCATTAGTCAATTGCAAAAGGCGGCCTTCCTAGGAACTGCTTCCATCCTGCAACGATATCAGTAATACCATCAAACATCCACATCTGCCTATCCCAGGTCCTTGGGAAGGACTTGATAGGTAGACAAAAATGCCAAATCCAGTCTGAACATCTGGCTGACTGTGCGATGATCAATAATAATAATAATAATAATAATAGAGTTGGAAGGGACCTTGGAGATCTTCTATTCCAACCCCTTGCTCAGGCAGGAAACCATATACCATTTCAGACAAATGGTTGACCAGTCTCTTCTTAAAAATTTCCAAGGTTGGAGCACCTACAACTTCTGGAGGCAAGCAGTTCCACTGATTAATTCTTCTCACTGTCAGGAAATTTATTTATTTATTTATTTATTTATTTTTAAACAGTATCTTTATTGAGTTTCAACATCATATATTACAATACAGACTAACTTTAAAAAAAGGAACAAGAATGACAAAATACATTGAGAGTGACAAAAAAATTATCTAACAAATCTAACAACTATATCCCACTTTTATTTAGTACAGAGATGTTAACAATACGATCACCTCTCTCAAAGTTTAAAGAAATAACTCTATTATGCAAAATATATTAAAAAATCTTATAGTCAACTTACTAAAAGCAAACACTCATCAAATGTTCCTCCCTTAACTTCATTGAAAAAACAGTAAGTTATCCAATGTAAATAGCCTTATCATTAAAAAGCTGCAATAGTTCTCTGGTCAAATCCAACCTAACCTTTGAACCCCAAAGTCAAAAGAGGCTTCTTCTCTTTATCCTGAAAGAAATCGAC